ATCTGACTATCTATCTATCTATCTATCTGTCTGTCTATCTATCTATCTATCTATCTATCTATCTATCTATCTATCTATCTATCTATCTATCTATCTATGTGTGTCTGTCTGTCTGTATCTATCTATCTATAATCTGACTCTATCTATCTGTCTGTCTGTATAATCTGACTATCTATCTATCTATCTATCTATCTATAATCTGAATATCTGTCTGTCTGTCTGTCTGTCTTTCTGTCTGTCTGTCATCTGACTATCTATCTATCTATCTATCTATCTATCTATGTCTGTCTGTCTGTCTGTCTGTCTGTCTGTCTGTCTGTCTGTCTGTCTGTCTGTATCTGTCTATCTATAATCTGACTCTATCTATCTGTCTGTCTGTATAATCTGACTATCTATCTATCTATCTATAATCTGACTATCTATCTGTCTGTGTCTGTCTGTCTGTCTGTCTGTCTGTCTGTCTGTCTATCTTTAATCTGACTATCTATCTATCTGTCTGTCTGTCTGTCTTTAATCTGACTCTATCTATCTATCTATCTATCTATCTATCTATCTATCTATCTATCTATCTATCTAATTGTACAAAATTGCAGTCTATAAATTAAGGCATTTTCAGTTGTCTACAGCATAATATGAAATTTGCATCTAAAATACATCTAAATAACAGACCGTTCTGCCTGAGTGACCTCGCATTACGGCACAGTGCTACAACAGTACTGTCGGTCTACACAGCTACATACACATCCAGCCACTTGGACAAAGACAAATCGCATCCAACAAAGTCATGGAGCGGCACGTGAACTCACCAGAGAAGAAGTTCTTAGCACGTAGATAACTGACACTCAGCCGCAGGATGGAGAGTTTGTCCAGGCTGCTCGTGACCTCCTCTGGAAACGGAAGGAGACTGGCCAACCGGTCCAGCTCAGAGTTCAACCGATCTCGATGACGCTTGGACGGGTTAGACTTCACCCCTTCAGCTGGGGGCTGCTTCACCCTGAGCACATTTCGTAAAAACATATCTTAAGATAACATTCAAGTGTTTTTCAAATGCAAGGTCTGTTTGGACAGAATCACGGACGGCATGAAAATACAGAAGCCACATTCACAAGTTTCGCATTGATTCGGACAGGCTGTTGTTTTTACTAAATTTACTCCATTGTCAACTTTGCTTTTCTGCCTGTCATGTTAATCATTTTGCATATTGTTGTGTCTGTGCTGTTCTTGGTCACACTAATAAGTTTCAGTGTTTGATTTTAAGGAAATTTGTGTGAACCTTTGTACAACATACAAATTTGGGTCACCACCCTAACGTAAAATCTGAGCCCTGATACGCACACACATCACATATCCTTACACACAGAGCTGTTACGGAACAATTCATCTGTTACTGTGAATATGAATGCAAAATTGTATTATATATAAAAGATATCAGTGTAATTCAAAGATAAATACAAAAAAGGAAAAATAAATAAATAAATCACTTAGGACACTAAAGCGATTTTAGAAAAAAGTAGCTGATTGAAATATTGTAGATAATAAAATATAATTAAAAATACAGAACATAAATAATTATTATCAGTAATTCTGTTATCTAAGAGTATAAAATAAGCTCTGAATGGTTTATGTAAAGATATAGGATTATGATACCTATTTGGTCTACACTTAAAACAAATAATAGGTGGCAGAAATATATACATTTAATTTTTATCAATATAAATCCTACGCTAAATCTAGAACGCTTACATTAAAAAAAACATTGTGTTCTAATCAAACTGTACGCAAACATTTTGTACGCAAAATATCAGTTTACTGCATTCACGGTCAAAATAAAATATATTAATTTATATAAACTATTATGCAAAACTAGCTTTATATTTATGTATATTATATTAGGTTTATATTTTTTATCAAAATAATATAGTATCGGTTTAGTTTGAGAGAAATAAAAAAGCGACTTATAATGTTACGCAACATGTAACGGCAAATAAAAATAATATTTTAATTAAAATATTATGCAAAATAAAATATATTAGCTTTATAATTATACAATAATATAATGAATATAATAAAATTCTATAAATATATATATATATAACATGCTATATACATGATTTTAAATAAAATATTTCCCTGATTCGCAGGATTGGTGTTCACAACTGAATATTAGGGGTTTTAATATAATATAATATAATATAATTTCATGCATTTGTCCGGTTTAATTTGATCAAAAACGGAAACGAAAAGGACAAATATGAAAACTTCAATATAATATCACGATGCACATACATTAAACAGCAAATATTGCAGCACTGGGTTCTACTAATACTAGTGATGCTTTGATTATCTTGAATAGAATAATAACAGTAAATATAAATATTTACTTCAGACAGATGGGCCTAAAAGAGCAGTTTACACATGCGCTTCGGGTCAGACGAACATTACTGTAACGTTACTGTAATGAGTTTCCAGTCAGAAACACCAACAAAAACACAAATGATCAATAACAGTCTATCGACACATTCATTACACACACACAAACACACATTTACTCTTATAACTTACGTCCTTTGCACGGGTTTTCTTCTTTTTCGTCCTGCATACATGTTTAGGGCGTCGGGACACTCCAACCCTTCAGCTCCAGTGAATCCAAGCCACAATCTACAACAGATCAAATCCCAATCCTTCTACTCAAACAAAACAATCTATTTTCTGGTAACTTACAGGTATAATGAAAGGTGCTACAATTCAAAAATCCGAAGAAGTATAATAAATATAATATAGTATGAACTGTGCAAAAAAGGCACTCAGAATCCCTACTGCCTCAAACGGCATTTAATATCAGTCTAATAAACTTAAAAAGCCAAAACAGCGTTAAAGAGTGTAATTCCTCTTCAAATATACTTCAGCATTCATATGAGAAGTGACAGCAGGTCTTCTTCATCCTCAGTGCTGCTGAGCTTGTATAAACAGCCCTCCAAAGTCATATGCTTGGACAAAACAATACATTATCATCTATATTTACACAGAATAAACCAAATCCACAGTCATCATTTGTTCCAGCTTCGTGTCTAATTCATTTTTGTCCGAGCTGCTCCACTAAGTCCCCCAACTGCGCGCCCCCGACATCAGCTTGCAGGGCACGCGCATTTGGTTGACCAGGCAACCGGCACAGATTTGCGCAGGAGCGCGCGCAGAGCATCAGAGGCCACGGCTTAAAGGCAAAGGGGAAAATCTCCTAGGATACAGGACGTCAGGCTTTACGTCTTCTGTGATTGGTCAACGATTAGCATTACTCGCTTATGACTAAAAGAATGACATTTTGTTACATTTTATGGAGAAATTCTTTGAAAAATATCGTCCCCGCTATACTTTTCAACTCAATTGCTAAATGTGTCTCTAGGGAAAAGGAAGAAATATCAGGTTTTTTTTATTTGTTTATTTATTTATTATTTGTTTTGTTCTTGTATGTTGTATGATTGTAATAATGTGAATAGGTTGTGTTGTATTTATAAGTTAAAATCTTTTGTTAATCTCGTTTGAAGCAATAAAAAAAGGGGGGGAAAACGAAAAAAGGATTACTCGTTTATGAATATTAATAACGAAACGTGAGGCGAAGAGGACTTGCAGAAAAGCAGACGTCGGCCGGTGTTGTGCCCATTTTCGACCCCCTGCCAATTTATTACCCCTCTCGTTGAAATCGCTATCTGATTGCCTAATCCTAGCCCCTCCCCCACACCTAACCCTAAACGAATCATACTATCGGGATTATGAATATTAATGAGATTATATGATGGTCGGGAAGGTTACCAAGAAAAGCTGGCGCGTCTGATTAATATTAATTAGACTTCTGGACGCTTCTAGCCAATCAGGGAGCAGAGAACCTTTTTTTTTTTTTTTTTTTGGACAAATGTGACCCTGGACCACAAAACCAGTCATAAGGGTCACTTTTTTTTTAAATGGAGATTTATGCATTATCTGAAAGCTGAATAAATAAGCTTTCCATTTATGTATGTGTGTTAGGACAATATTTGGACGAGATAGGCTACAACTAAGCAGTTTTACAACTAAAAAAAAAAAAATCGAAATATTGAGAAAATCGCCTTTAAAGTTGCCTAAATGAAGTTCTTAGCAATGCATATTACTAATCAAAAATGAAGTTTTGATACATTTACGGTAGGAAATTTACAAAATATCTTGATCTTTACTTAATATCCTAGTGATTTTTGGCATAAAAGAAAAATCGATCATTTTGACCCAAACAATTTTTGGCTATTGCTACAAATATACCCCAGCGACTTAAGACTGCTTTAGTCACAAATGACCAAACCTCTGTAAGAATCATATGTAAATTCAATAAAAATTAGAATATATATTTTTTTAAAGTAGCCTACTACGAAATCGATAATTCTCAATAACATTATTTACATTATATACAGAATGTTTTTTTTTTTTTTTTTTTAAATATTTGCTCTCTAACAAATTAAAATTCAATTTTTAATGGTATGAAAAAACTATTCATTCACCATTAACCGTTTTATTGCAAACTTGCATGTCTCGTGTGTTTGCAAAGAAGGAAAAAAGAATTTGAACACGGGGAATTTCCTTTTTGCAAGCTCCTGTTATTATGACGCATAATTTCCTGCGCTTTCGGAAGCTTTTTTTTATAAGGGTGTTCGACATTTATTGACTATAATGACTGTATTATATAATACTTGTTTATGGACCACAGCAAAATCCCTTTTAATGCATGCAAGCTGCTGACTCTTTCATACACATCGCACAAATCTGTTTTATACGCATGCATTTAAAGGGCAGTAATGAATAAAAGATGATTCGAAAATGATTGCATATCCCCCCAGTTTGGTTCTAGGACACCCTGTAAAACTGTGGGCGACCACACCGCGGGGTTACAAGAAAACCCAAATGCAACGTTTATTTCGCTTTTTTTTGGCCAATTGATAGTCAACAATAATGTCAACTTACTTTCCGAAAAGTTTCACTTCACACTAGTAGTATAGTATAGAAATAGTGCATACTGGCACACATTCAAAATATATACATTAGCGCCCTCATGTGGTTAACACATCTATCTATCTATCCATCCATCCATCCATCCAGCGTGAAAACTAACATCAGCGCAAACCAAATCCATCGCTATTATTTGTGCGTAATCAATCTGTCAAGTGATAAACGGATCAATCAGTCAACTGATCATCCATTAACCAACCATCAATCAAACAAATCTTCTAGCGATTACTAACCTCCTGTCTTAGCCAGCAGACATCTGGCAATAAAATACAGAACGCTCTTATTTACATTACAACTCCTTTTTTTTAGCTTTCAGTTCAAATGAAATCAAAGGGGAAAAAGTCGCTAATCTCAGAAAACGAAAGCTGTTTGAAGGCACTTAAAGGCACAATATGTCATTTTTTGCCACTAGAGGGCGCGTGTTCAAAACAAACAAAGACACAACGGCGTAGATTGATGACGCGGAATCATGTGGGATCATGGGAGTTGTCGTCTTCATCCCCACAGCCGAAGCAATCCGACACGGACAGAAAGGGTCCTGTAACTCTTGAACTGTGAGGCTATGTACAAAACTTAGCAAACTAGCATAATCGATTCCGTCCATGCAAACAACAACCAGTTGTTAAAAACATTGCTTCTCAGATTCAATTATAGCTGCCATTTCAATTCCTTTCCTCCTCTGCAAGCCACGATCATTTCGTCCAAAGAGAGTGAAGACGGGAGGGAAATAAGTGGAATATCCTTTGGGCAGAAAGAAATTAAGGCACACAGTGTTTCCATTTCAGATGATGAAAGGAAAAGGCTTTGGGTGCATGAGTTTGAGGGTTGGATATAGTTGCTGTTATTATCACACCATACTCTCTGTTCTTACTGCAGGGAGAAAGAATAAATCTCAGAAGCAACAGCGGTCAAAAACATGAACAAAATTAAGGCCTATTCAAAGAGTTCATTTTGCACAATTAAACCAATCAGTCATATTTCTATAGCTACAGCATCTCATACAAATATGTTTTGGTATATATACACATTCAAAGTGCTGATACAATCCAATCAAATGGCTTCATATTCTTTCAAAATAAGGCACAAAGGGGCCTACAAACTTTACGCCTCATTCACAAAACAGAATTTACATGGAAATCGCATTCAATTTAATGCGCAAAATTTACGCAAAACTAATTTTACGAATGACATCACAGTTTTGAGCACATTCTCTACACTGCGCTTGTTCTAAACTTTTGGCTGCTGCTGTATTTCCTGATTGACCAAGAATGAAACTACAGACGAATAAAGACTTTCACTGCGGCCATTAAAAAAATTCGAATTTTCTCTCAACAAACATTTACTTTTGTTTGGAATCCTTCCTGATAACTAGTCTGTTCTGTCTTTAGAAGACACTTGATTTTACCTTTCTTCTGGAGGCAGGATATGCTGGCTGCTGTGATTCTCATGGCACGCAACACGATTGAAGAATTCTTCCATATAAGTGTTAACGCAAACAGAAAGCAAGAGGGAAATCAGCAAATTAAAAGTGGACAAAAATGGCTCAATGACATTTCCATAATTTCGATTATATGCATAAAAAAGTACAAAATAATTTTTAAACAAACAAAAAAACAACAAATGTACAATAAATGATAAGGGATAACATTCAGATATTGTTGTAATACACATGAAACATATGGTTAACCATAAAAGTGTGGCAAGACCAGACGGTTTTTACTCTTTGAATGGAAAAAGTGTTGTTGAGAAGAAAAAGTGGGCTGGGACTATTCCTTTGCAACGTTACAACTTGCAGTGGGTGGAGCTTCAGGGAAGTTCTGGGAAAGTTTTGTAGTCAACAAATTCAATGATTTGCTCTGACAGTCCAATAGTGCCACAGAGGCCATCAGTAGAGTATTAATTTCTTTCGAGAAAGTGGGGTACATTGATAACACTAAGGTTTAAAGGTCTACAGATGGCAAAATAAAAGGGTTCGGCTGAGGCCGTTGCCCTCTCTGAGACAGACTTTCCCTTTTTGAGTCGAAACTTACCCTAATAAATAGCATCTTGTGTGCACCTTGAATTTCCTCAGAATCTCATCCCTGCAATTAAAAGGTTATACCGCTGCGTCTGCATACTTCATAAATGAACTCTAGGCTACCTCGCACACACATACACACAAACACACACTTGCTCACACACCTCTCCTTGCTAGTATACTCGCCATCTCACTTTTTTTTTCGTTGCCAGAATTGCAAAACAAAACAATATCCTTCAGGGATGAAAGGACATGATTAAAAAAAAATATATACATATTTTCTTTCTGCCACTGCTTATTTCTCATCAGAGAGGGTGTGAACAAGTGAAAAAGTAGATAAGTGTGAAAAAAGGTGTGGTAAAATCACTAAAGTTCTGTAAGGTCTTGCAGGTTTTCAGCCAAGTGTGTCTTTAGAAGCAGATGCATGTCTCTCGAGGGACAAACAAGTTGCTGTATTTATGCGTTTTTTTTCCTAGAAAGAGGTACAGCACTGTTGATGTGTCAGTCGCTGTATTGAGCATGATCTAATAGTCACAGCAATTGCTTTGGTTGTTATCGGAAAAGTAGGTGGTTCCACTGGCCAGTGAAATCTCATCCCTGCAATTAAAAGGTTCCACCGCTGCGTCTGCATACTTCATAAATGAACTCTAGGCTACCTCGCACACACATACACACAAACACACACTTGCTCACACACCTCTCCTTGCTAGTATACTCGCCATCTCACTTTTTTTTTCGTTGCCAGAATTGCAAAACAAAACAATATCCTTCAGGGATGAAAGGACATGATAAAAAAAAATATATACATATTTTCTTTCTGCCACTGCTTATTTCTATTCTTCATATCTAAGCAAAATGGACAATATGACTGAAAAACACCCAAATGAATCAAAATCGAGAGCTTGTATATCAGAACTGAATTATATCAAGAAATATGACACCTAGTCCTACTCTGGACTGCCCTCAATTGTTTCCTTCCACAATGCTGAAAGAAAACAACGGAGCACATTGGGAATAAATTAATCTTGAGTGTCTCTGTCCACCTCTAGACTTCCTCAAAATTATATGGTTTTTCTTTACACATGGTGGCAGTAGTAACATCCCAAAATGTTGTTTCTCACAAAGACTTGTGACTGATGGTAGAGCTGAGATTACCAAACCGGTTTAAAAAAAACTGGATGTGTGATGACACAATGAGCCTGGGGTGAGAACAGGGTAGTTCCGCTATTCTCAACAAACTTCAAGACTCAATCTAAAAATAGGGAGTGAGCACACACCTGGTGCTTTGATCTCTGAATTAGAACAAGCTAGTTTGAAGTTATAATTATACCATGGATTAAATTATACCATGGATTACATTAGTACAGTTTACCTGTGTCTGGCCATTGCAGGAGAGATACTGCTGAGCAAGAATGTTATCTGGAGTTAACCCAAGTGGCACTCGACAGGCCATGGGGCTGTTATTGGTGTCTTCTTGTGGGATGACCGAGGCGCCCACGATTGACTCGCTAGGACCTCTTTGGTAGTAGCAGGATGCTTGTGTAGGACTCTGGGTAACCAGACCTTTAGCCCTCTGGCAGGATACCGGATCTGCAGAACCATACTGCATCCCGTTCACTGATGGCTGAGGAGTGCCTGTAAACATGCAGCTGTTGGTGGTCTGATGAGGGCTGTTGCTGATAATCTCTCCTTGCTGAGGATAGATGCTATTTGCAGTTGTCTGGGGCAGGAAACCAGACCCGAATCCTTGTGCGTTTGTGTGCGACATCAGTTCTCCAAGCAGATCTCTTTGGAAGTCTGTAACTTGGCCGATGAAGCCCGTCATATTCTGTTGCCCACTGGAAAACGATCTGGAGACCTGTTGAGGCTGTGATTGCTGCCAGCTAGGCAGTCCTGGATTGGCAGCGTTTTGAGTGTGAAGAGAAAACTGTCCTTGTAGTTGGGGAGTTGGGCCAGAGGGTAGTCCTGCATCTTGTAAACCTGAAATGTTACGGGTGCAAGAGTTCAGCAGGTTATCCATCAAATTGTTGCTGTCAGACACCCACAGAGGGTTCTGACTGATTGACGGTTGTTGAGGAAGGGAATTCTGGCCATTGAAGCCCATTGGCTGGGAGGAAATGCCCTGCAATAGAGGACTTTGAAGAGGGAGAGTCATTGTGTTGTGATGGGGCTGGTTTCTGGTCTGTAGGTTTCTCTGGCCACATGGCACTATTCCGTACTCTTGCACGGCACCTTGCAGACCAAGCCTGACTTGGGTCGGCTGCTGCATGGCAAGAGAAGGATTAAACACAATGTTATTATTGCCAGGCATCTTCTGGGTTGTCTGTTCTAGTCCGAATGATTGGACAAAAGTGTCGCCAGGTAGCATCTGTGGCCCCATATGGGTGAGCTTCACCATCCCTCTTCCAGGGCTACTGGCATCCACTTCATCTTGGATGTTCATTCCGACGAACCCACCCCCACCTGAGGATCCACCGAGTATATCTGCCTGGCAGTTGAATTCCTGGTTAACAGCTACATTATTCTGTAGCTCCATTTCTGGAAGACACTCAGGCACCTCAACAAATGGACCCTGGCTCTTGAGTTGTTCGGGCAATTGAATACCATTTTCCTTAAAAAGTGCATCCTCGACATAAGAGAGGATGTCATTGGTGATGATTTCATTAAGTTCCATTTCGTTGTTGTTGTTCATCCTGAGCAGAGTGTTCTCCCACTCCTTCAGGTCCGATTCGTCCACTTCAAACCCCTGAAGGCCACAAATACTGCTGTCCCCAATAATCTGCTGCAAGCTTTCCATCATGTCCTTTACCACACTTTCCTCCTTTATCCCAGCCACAATGTTTGGGGCTGACGGCTGCCAGGTGTTCCCAGGGACATTGAGCAGGGCGTGGCTATCCCTGAAAGCCTGGTCAAGGGTAAACTGGGAATTGGGGTCATTGTTCTTGTTGTAGACAGAATGATCCTGTTTCAGCATGCAGCCGAGAAGAGAATCTGGGTCCAGAGATAGAGGTTTGTGCATCTTCTGGCCTTTGCTTGGATTTTGAATGTCAGCGATGTCCAGTGTGGGGCCAGTCTCATACAAGACACCCTCACCAGTGGCGCAGCTAAAAGGTAGCTGCAACTTCCTTTGACGGAGGTGTTCCTCACCCTCTTCATTACTATAAAATACAAATATTATAATAATGAGAGACACAAAGAGATTAGAGCAACAACAACATTCTTAAAATGCTGGTTTAACTTACGTTAGTGCTCTTTGTCGAGCGATAATGAAGTCTGGTCTTCCTCCTTTATAAACAAGCCTAGCATTGGCCTGCACCCAGATCCATGTACCCCCTTTCGTGAGAAGTCTGAAGACAGTTAAACCACTTTCTCCAGTCTTTATCACTATGAGAAAGAATAAGAGAAAAAATATATATTTTAAAAGAAATGCTATGGAAATCAAACTGCTAGTTTTATGGAGTTCATAAAAAGCAAAAATGATGGACATGGCTTTGACTTAACATTAAATATCTGGTCAAGATCTGGCATAACTCACTTCTGATATGGTTGTCAGCACAGTACATCATGTCAGCAGCATGAATGAACTGATAGCCGGAGCCTCTCATACACAGCTCAATCTCAGTGTAGCCAAGAACCACCTTTCCCCTGCAAAACGAGAAACAGATAGGAAAAATGTTAACACTAGGCTTGTACCATTTCCCCAAAATTTGTTGGCCCAATCTGAAGTTGCTTTTGCTTCTTAATCAAATGTACCTTGTGTCAACACCCATAGGTGTAAAGTCCAGCTTGTGTTTGGTTTGGAAAAGAAGAGTCTTGCTCCTGATCTCCAGGATAGAGGGTGGCTGGAGGGGTGTGGCTATGACAAAAAGAGCCAGTTGAGGGTGGGCCAGTGTCCCATCTTCAGCCAACTTGTTTTGCCCATGGAGATATTTCAGCCTCCCCTGGAAGTTCAGGGCCTTGGGGGGGCAAAGGGAAGAACAAGAAAGTCATTTTAGCCTCATGAGGGTCCGACACTGAGTGTAAACAATTCACAGCAGATTTATTTATACAGCTGTTGCTGTTACTGTATCGTGTACACAGAAAATCAAACATTGTTGAGTTTAGCTCAAAAGGTTAATCTTGGAATGATTCTAAAATATTGATTCTACACAGGCATAAAGTCGCAATAGAGGTCTAGGATGTTTACCAGGAAGCCTGATGAGTTGTCAAGGAGGCACCGGAATCGGCAACAGAAACTTCGTTCCAAGAAGGATGAGTTTTCTGGAGGGATGTGTTGAGGGTTGTAGTTTACCATGTCTCTGGTGACGTCACTGCTGCTTTGAATTGCTGAAGACCGATTGGTTGTGCCAAACAAAAGGGGGAAAAAAAAACAGTGATGTAATCGGCTGTGAATCACTAGCAGTGTTCATCATCCTGGGTTTTTACAAGACTCCATTTTATAAATCCGAACGGATCCTCCCACAGCTGTCTTGCTGTCACTGCTGCTTTGAATTGCTGAAGACCGATTGGTTGTGCCAAACAAAAGGGGGAAAAAACAGTGATGTAATCGGCTGTGAATCACTAGCAGTGTTCATCATCCTGGGTTTTTACAAGACTCCATTTTATAAATCCGAACGGATCCTCCCACAGCTGTCTTGCTCTCCACAAACATACTTTCTTGATTCAGTAATAATAACAACAGAAGTCTGCTCATTCACAAAACATTCAAGGCTGGGCACTGCAGTAAAAGTTGACAACACCTTACCAGGAACTCACTGACCCTACTTGGGCATCACAATTAAGGATAGTGTTACTACTAACTATCAGATCCATCGCTACCATCGCACGAAGTGGGATTGAGAGCGAAGTGTAGTTGCCTTCGAAACATTGCCCGATCGTCTGTATGGATGAGCTCGAATACACTCTGATGGACCACATCCGACTGTGAAGACAGTAAGAAAGGACATTACAAAAAATGATCGGAGGACATGTTCTGCATCCTGCATTCACTAATATTAATTCCCGTTATAACCTAGTGCTGGGCAGTATACCGGTTCATACTGAATACCGGTGTTTATTTTTGTTACGATATGAATTTTTAAAATACCGCAATACGGTATTTTAAAATGTCGCTTAAACAACGTTCGGAATGCGACACTGCTTGAGAGGGGTCCCTTTTCACTGTTGCACTGTGGTGAGGGCACAGCTGTATGGGTTACTAAGCGTGAAAGTTCTGAAACTGAAGCTGTAGAACTAATAGAACGTGATCTCATCTACAATATCCACATTGACCGCCACAAATATCCACCACCCCCTGCCATCAGCTCCCGCGTCTCTTACACACGAGCGCGACTTTAGCACTAGACTAACTTTCAGACCCTTTTAGCTGCTTTTTTCCATAGAATATTCATACTGACAAACCTAGCGACTTCTTTGGATAAACCTTAGCTATGGTTAAGTTGGAAGATTTCGCCAGTGCTGTCCCTCGAGCGCGAGGTCTGACTTTCCCGAAGAAGTGTCACCTCTCTCGGCATTCAGTTGGCCGCACCGCAGCCGACTCGTCAATAAATGAGTATAAAACAGTGTTTCCAAGCACCTGTTGCTTACTGATTGTTTGGAATTATAAATATGAGCGTAGGTCATATCACAAGCACTTTTTTTTTCAGACGCAGGCAGTGCGCTGCATGAGACAAAAAAGTAATATAGCCAAAACAACCGCATAGCCGCTCTTTAGTGTAGATGCACGTTGATTTTATCAGACGATGCCACGATTATAAATGAGAGTGACTCCTGGTTAACATGTATTAAAAGGGGTCGTGCTTAGTCACTATTTAGTGTGGTATTTTTTGACAATATTCACTCATCATGACAGTAAAATAGGCCATTCTAAGTCAATATACTGCAGTATTTCCTCTCTCAATCAGTACAAAATATGGTTAACACCCGGTCATGCATGAAAAAAAAATACCATCATGTACCGTGAAACCGGTATAATTTTGAAAAATACCGTGATATAAATTTTTGGTCATACTGCCCAGCACTATTATAACCTGACCGTGAAATATGATAACGGGTTTTCCACTGCCACTTTCAAGTTCTGTTGTAATTGTTAATGCCAACCAAATCCTCATTGCAAACTGGGCAGAGGTTTATTTTTGTCTTTCTGACAAGACTAGAGAACCGATGTTGGGGTTGGAGGTCACCTCATTTGACAACTCCACAAAGCACTACAAGTGCATCGATATGAACACTCGTTTAAGTGGCATATACACACTGGGAAATTTGACTGCATATCACATTTTTGAAATTATCGATAGTAGCTGATCAATCTCGGGGGTTGGGCTGGGTCCGCTAGGCTTACTTGTCTCCGTGCTCGTGCTGGAGCTTGTTCACTTACGTCGGTGCTTGTGCTGGGGCTGGTGTTGGATGCCGATTTTGGAAAGTTTTTGCTGGGATGGGCATTTAAAAAAATCTGAAATTCACTTTTGCGCCATTATCTCCTTGTATTAAAGTTAATCTTGTTCGCATTCTGTATAGTTCATGTTTGATACCACACGCCAGCGTCATGTGTTCATGACGATTAGGCTAATCATCCCATATAGAAAACATCACAAGTAAAATTAATCATGTTTATAAAGATAAACTTGGGTTTATTATAGCCCACGTACAATTTACATTTCAGAGATCATTACATATAAATGATTAAATGCTAAAACTGAATAAATCTAAATGAACAAACTTGGCGTTGCATTTGCAACCATGTGAAAACAGGGGGTACTGCAGCCCCTTCAGCACCCCTACTTCCCGCGTCCCTGTTTTGTACCGTATCACTTGTTTGGAGTGCTACTGATTGGAAAGCAAATGGAAACTTTAGTTTCCTGTGGCTCAGATTTTTAATAAGAAAGCATTAAAATCATCACATTTGTGTCCTCTAGAGATATCGCTTTACATGTTAGGCTGTATTTACTGTATATCAAAATGTAGACGCTTCCCTCTAGAGGCTTGGCATAGTAACTGCAGCTTGGTTTGCATTGTTCCTTTCTGCCTGTTTTTTCCTCCCCATCCTCTCTCTTTCTCCTTAACAGGCCAATGAAAACAAAGTGTTTGCACTGTCTGTGTGTGCTAATTGCTGCAGGCTGGACGGTGTGGGATAAAAACCAGACAAGGTCCAGAAACCATTCATGACAACTTGTACCAACAAACACACATTTAAAGGTTAATGAGGACACACAGGCAAGGGAGTAGAAAGAAAAGATACATATTACTTGCTCTAAAATATGTATACATGTCTCTGATATATTTACACATATATCTTCGTAAAAACGACATACAGTAAGAATACACAGATGGATTTAACATGTGCACAACAATTCATGAACAAAGCCACACACAGTGATGTTTGGGTAATACAAATCATAGAGGCATTCCTTTTATGTAACACAATTTATTCTTATGGCATGGACTACAAAATAGAAAAAAGTAATTAGAAGTATGTGAATAGTTATTAGCAACCCAAATCACCACAGACCGCTGTGGCAGTGGGTATACATTTATGCATTTGTGTGCAGGTGGCGCAGGCCTGCCTGACTGTGTAACCCTGGCGACCTGGACTTGCTAGAGAGGGAACGTCACACTCCAGGGAAATTGATTTAGTGAGGAAAAACAGGTACACAATAACAAGCACAGACTATATGCACATCAACAAACACACAAAGACACCACAGTTCTTATTCACATATCATATAGGTGTATGCATATATATATATATATATATATATATATATATATTCTTTTAGTACATTCATACTGTCTGTATTGTAATATTTGTGTGTGCTTAGAGCGAGAATGTATATTTGAGTAGACATTGTGTAATGTATAGCCTACTTGCTATTATTGCAAGCTATAGGAATGAAATGGCTATTGTTAATGTGATCTATACATCGAGTCTCTACATACAATACACCACAGGAACACACACACACACACACACACACAAGATCTCCTTGAACTGGCTGTGGTTCACACACAGACAAACAGGTTTTGCAAGTTCTTTAATTAAGCATCCAAACCTTAAATGTACCTCTCTTTGATGTTCTTTTTCTGAGCTTCTCCTCTTTTATAAACAAAACCAAACTATGTCTGTTACGCACATCACAGGCTGACAAGGTGAAAGAAAAAAACACTTAGGCCTAATCGCTAGGCATTTGCAAATATTAGCTTACATAAATTTGAAAAAGCCTTCCAAACAGGACAAGGAAGAAAAGGGATGTTTCGAACAACATAGACTAGTTTGTTAATACTAAAAAATATATATATAAAATCCTCACTGACGCCACGCTGGTTTAACAGTAAACGAACACCTTTCCGAATAAGTAATCGAACCCAGACACCCTCAGAACTTTTTCCACAGCCTACTTTCAGTTACAGAACAGTTCGCTGTTATTGAGGCCCAGAGTATTATCCTTGCGATAACAGAAATTCATAACGGTAGGAAACGGCACGGCATGTTAAACTCTCGCAAAAGCCATTACTCTTCCTCCAGGGTGAGGAAAGTCGAACCAACAAATGACTGAAGAATGATACAAATGTTTCCAGGTGAATGACTCGTCAATAGATTTGATACCTATGCTGGATTTATCAATTGTCAATTAAATGACAAGCATTTTTTGAGGCTGGTATATGAATATCGATTTAAACTGTGTTTATTTTCGTAAACTGTACAAAGTACATACAATTTTGACGTATGACAAGACAACTAATGTTAAAAAAAAGCAGGACTTCCTAAAAGAAAGGTTTTAAAGCAAACTCAC